GAAAAATGTATTTTAATATGTTTTCTACTAAGTGACTTTTCTAATAATAATGTTAATTGAGTATAATAATTGATATGTTAGAAATCTATATATATTTTTTCAATGTTTGTCCAACATAGTATGCTAGGAAAATACGCTAAAATTCAACAATGATCTGGAAAACTATGATATAATAAAAGTATGTGTTACTTTGAGAAAAGATGAACTTGTTAAAAAAAAATAATTTTTATTTTGTATGTTAACATATTAGTAAAAGTTCAGTTTTGAATGTAGTCTGTTCTTATAGAATACAAATCATATTCTTGCAATCTGACTTAATTAAAGTATTATTTCAATGAATTCTTATAATAACTCAATACTATTGCCATGATTTTTAAGAAATGAGTTATTAGTTTGATATTGATTTGTAAGAACGTATATGAAATTTAAAAGTGAAAATAATGAAAAATTTGATGTTCTTTCTTACAGTTGCATATTAAACTAACAGACCATTTGTTAAAGATGATGGGAAAACTATTTAGTTCTTATAAGAATTCATCAAAATTCTAGTTGAATCAAGTTTGATATGATGAACAATGGTTATAAATTTATTGCTGTATAAGTATCTTCAGTAATCGTTTTCATATATTTATGTAATTCATTATTTTAAAATGCTATTATTGCAATAATATTCCGTTGCATTGTTTTTCTATAAATATCTTCAATTTAAGATATGAAAAATTTATATAAGAAAAAAAGCTATATACAGTCAGGCGATCTACCTTTTTTTGACTAGCCTCTATGACCTGTTCTGTCTGTGACAGAATAGACATAAGATCGTGATTTTTGTCTATCAAAATTAGTTTGTACTAGTAGTCTGTTTCGAACTTTCTCAAGCAAAGCCTTTTAACATACACTCATTCGAACTAAAAATTTGAAAAATATCTTTTCTATGTTGTAAGGTTTAAAGAGCTTTACAAAAGAATTCCATTTCGCTGAAGCACATTGATATCTTCACTGAATGAAATGTTAATACTTCGAAGTATTCAATGTGAATTTAGGTTCTGATGATAAAGTCTCCATCATGGTTTGAAATCAGAGCTATACGATGATCTCATAATGTCTAATATCGTTTACGCATCTCATGTGTTAATGATGATAAGAGAAACTCTACAGGTATCAGATTGTCTTTTCGACTGAGACAATGTTCATTTGATCTGATACTAATGATCAATAGAAAAGTTTACAAAGGTTAGCTCTTTCGTGCGTTCATTCTCGATATATAGAAATTTTACTGGATTTTTCAGCATAAAGTTGTGTTTTCTCTCGCATGACGTAGAAAATCAGCTTTCAACTTGTAACTTTATACAAACAAAGTTCTTAATAGAATTAATTGATTGTGCAACAATTATTTCCTTTGTCGAGATGCACAAATCTATGAAGAAAATTTGCTTTTACTCATGAGAGAATTTTGAATATTGAATATGTCAGAAAATGCGTTAGTAGAAAATTTATGACTTACTCAATGCATTAATATCATGGTGAAATTTTTTCATGCTAAGTTTGAAGTCAAAAAACAAATTTTTCATGTGATCTGAGAGATATCATAGATTTTTCAAGAAAAATTCAGTAAAGTTTCTATTGCTTACCAGTAATAATAAAATAAACATAATCTCGGTTGACAATAGATTTGACACATGAAGAGATTCCTTCGTTAGCATAAATCTTATGTTAAAATTTTATTTTGGAGTAACATGTGTTATCTTTAATGGTTTATATCACAAACTGTTACCAATAAGAATCGAAAAACCGAATTTTTTTCCAAAGAAATATATAAAATTCAGCTCATGTTAAAGTAAATTGCATAGGTTCTCATTATAAAAGCTTACAAAACTATGTTCGATATTAAAAAAAAAAACTTGGAAGACATTTTATAAGACCATATGAAAAACTATGTATCTACAACAGTAAACGAGGATAATCTCATGATTCTTTTTTTGCATAAGTCAAATTAGAAAAATATTCATTTAAACATGCTAAAATATACGGCTTTCTCTCTCATATATATTTGATTTGTATTTGCAAATAAGACAAAATTTGAGTCTACTACGATAAATGAAATGAATTGAATAGAACGAAACAATAGTGTAAGTTCATTTATTGCAAGACCTATTAATACAACTTCAATATGATCGTTGATCAACACTGTGTAAATAATCTGAAGAAGCCTAGATACTTGGCACTTATACATAAATTGTGTACTGAAGCGGCATCAACGGCATGTTTCATATTTTTTCTTTTTCGATAGTGTTTTTTTACTTAAGGCATTTTTTCGTTCTATCAACATAATATATACCAATTGGATAGGATTCTTTGAAAATTTTCATGTTGAATCAATAAAATTTGTTCAAATTATTTATCCTTCGAAGAACAATCGTAAAGAAAAGAACATATTTTAAGAAAAGAAATGTTTAAATATATTTTCAGGGTCCACGCAAATTGGTCAAATGAAAAATAGTCGAACAAAAATTGGCCGAAGAAAATTGGTCGATACGAAAATTACTCGACGAGAAAAATAGCCGAAAAATTCTTAAGTAAAAAGAAGAAAAAGAATCTTTCAATAGGAGCGACAACATTGTAAAAAAAATAAATTAATATTAGTATATATAAGCTGTCGCTGGTACTTTTAATATATTTATTGTAGTACTCTGTGCAAGTGAAGTGGACTCGAACCTCTTTCCAGAACAGTTGGTTTTAAGCAGAAGAAAACATGGAAATAAAAAAAGGGTGCGATTGTTGTGATGGATCGTCTTGGACCCTATCGCGCACTAAAATTTACACAAGCTCTGGCACTCGCATCTGCAGTCGCACAGACGCTGACAATGACACCACACTCTCAAAAAGCTTTTTTTCGCAATTCCACAGCTCTATCAGAATTAACTTCGATACAATTTCATGAAAATACATGAGTCTAACAATTTTAATTTTAAAAAGGAATTCCAGTTCACATGCTGCTTATAGTAGAACAAAAATCCGTTGTAGTGATGGACATTTTTACTAATGGCGTTTACCATTTTCTTCTTGTAATGGTTTGTCTGATTCGTTGTATTTGAAGTTTTTATTTGATTTCTTTTTATTAATAATGTCTCGACTATTTTTCGTCTCAATCAATTTTCGTAGTAACTAATTTTCGTATCGATGAATTTTCGTATCGACCAATTTTCGCTTTCCCATATTTTCAATAATGATTTTCGATAATTATCGGACGAAATATATATTTCGAAAATGTTTATATCAATAGTTCAATGAATGTTTTATTAATAGTTTTATTAAAATTATTCAATAGAAAAATGATAATATTAAGTCAATAGGTAAAATAAGTTTTAAAGAAAATACACAAAAAACGATCATGAAAAATCTTAATGTTTATCTTTGAGTTTCGTATTTTCATTTGAGATAAATTTTTTAGTCTAAAAATATGTTTAAATGATTAATTAATTAATTAATTAATTGAATAAAGATTTTGTTTTAGAAATATTTGAAAAAAAATCTCTTATTATGAAATCTAATTAAAATGTATTTTCGTCGATATCGTTTATTTAAAATCTTATTTATTTTTATTTGTTTAATAATTGCTTTATATCCTGTCTATAATGTATTATTTAATTCAATAAAACAAGAACCATTTATTATAAATAAAAAAACAATATCAACAATTTCATTTGATTTAAATAAAGACTTTGAAGAAATTTCCGAAGATTATTCACCATTTTATATTCGTTTACCAAATTTTTTTGATGATGAAGCTAAAAATTGGTTTTATAATTCAACATATTATAAAATAAATTCAAAAAAATGTCCAAACAATTCTTGTGAAAATAATGGAGTTTTATTTAATGATATAAAAGAACATATTTCAGTTAAAATAGCTTTTGTTAAAAATGGTCTTTATTTAAATGATGATTGTGGTTATAATTATGGAGATACAGCTATTAGAAGAACATTTAATAATGATAATGAAGCAACAGATGTTTATGATAAAGCATTTATTTATACAGTTCCTGATGGATGGAGTTTTCAACATTTTCTTGATGGAATTGGACCAAAATTATCTCATTCAAGACCTTATTTAGATAAATATCCAGATGCTAAAATAATTATAATAAGGGGTGCTCGATTTGATCGTTCAGTCAAAGAAATTTGGTCGATGTTGGGTATGATTTTATTTTTTAATTATTTATAGTAAAGAAAAACATGAATGTTCTATTTTTAGGAGTTGAAGAATCTTCAAGAATAATTCATTATACAGGAAATATGAAAGTTGGTGCTCGTTTATTAATAAATCCATGTCGTACTCCTGGTATTCATCCTCGTTTATGGCATAATGCACGTGAAATGTATTGGTCAATATCAAATATATCAAAATCATTAGATGAAAAAAAGAGAATAAATTTTATTTATATTCAACGTACATCATCGAATGCAATGAATGGAGCTCGACTTATTTTAAATGAACAACCATTTATTAATTTATTAAAAGAATATTGTTTAAAAAATTCGTTAAATTATATTCAATATGATCATTCAAAAGATTCAAATCATATAAAACATCGTATTGAACTTTTTTATAATGCTCGATATATAATTGGTGTTCATAGTGGAGCTTTGTCAAATATGAATTTTGCTCAATCAGGAACAACAGTTATTGAAATAATGCCTTATAGATCAACTACAAGTTCTCTTCCAATGACTTGTTCAATGTTTAATCCAAATGATTTAAAAGCATGTGCTGGTTATATATTATATACTCAATCTCAATTACTTAATCAAACATATTGGATTTTACCTACTGTTGTTAATGATCAAGGAAATATGAATGTTGATTTAGATAGATTTAAAAATCTTCTTGAAAAAATTTAGGTGTTTGTTGTTTGAGCTCATTTATAAAACAATAAATACTCATTAAGTTTATTTTTATCAATTAAAATTCTGTTTATTTTTGTATTTTGTTTAAATAATAATTATCGTCGATTATTATTTGCACGGTTAATTGGAGGTCGTTTTGCAGAAGCACTATCAGAATCAGATGATTTATCATCATCGGATGAACTTTCTTCTTCACTTGAATTAGCTAAAAGACAAGAAATTTTTTTTTTCATTGAAATTTTTAAATTAATTTCGTAAAAAAAAAGAACCTACTTGTTTCATCTGAATCTTTTTTATTATTTTTTGTATTTATAGTCGATGGTGATGGTTTAGTAATAGTTGATATTCCTGTTTTTGAAATCGGTGTATTCATTTGAGGTCGTGTTTGAGCTAGAGTAATACCCGAACGTGGTGTTCCGTGTGTTATTGTTGTTATTGAACGTGTTGGAGTTTGTGTTGATGATAAAGGTCCTTTTATTCCTCGTGTTCCAGTTGTTATTTCACCAGGCAAAGTCTTCGCAATTTTTTCTAGTTTATCTTTTCTTGCTTGTTTTTCTCCTTGTAATGCTTGATTCATATAAGACGATTTCTCTGGTTGTAGTCCTGCTCCATCATGTTTTAAAGCAGAAGATAAATCATATTGTGAACTTCTTTTAAATAATCGACAGCAGCAGAAACCAAGACGTTCTCTAAATGCTGAGAATCCACTAAGTTGAGAATCATGTATTAAAGTATCGTCACTATGTGCATGTGTCGTCATTTCAGACATGATCAAACGAAAATGTTAATTATAAACAAATCACGTCACGCATGACGAAACATTTATTTTATCATGTAAGAAAAAAAGAGGGAGAAACACAGACAGAAAGGAAGAAACCAATAAAGCAATAACGTAAGATAGATTGCTGATAGTATTTTTGGTAACATTGACTGTTGATCATAGAGAATCGATTCTCTTTTCTTCATATGGTTATGCTGCGATGGCCGAGTGGTTAAGGCGTCTGACTCGAAATCAGATGGGTTCTCCCGCGTAGGTTCGAATCCTACTCGCAGCGCTTTTTCTTTTTTTTTGTTTTTCTCTTCGTTTTAAACTATTCTGAATAGTATCAGTCATTTCTCCCCATTATTCACTTATTTTTATTTCTTCTAAACAGACATCAACGAAATTTGAAATTAAGTTCTTTTGCTTTTTCTTTAAAAAAATAACTAAACAATTTTATTTTTAATGAAATATCTATTTGAAAATAAATCCTTTAAGAAGCCATCTGTTGAAAACGATCTCGTTGTTTGTTATTGAATTTTCTTCATAATTACTCTATATGAATGTTACTTAAAAAACGGAAATATATTTTGATAATATTATAAATAAAAATTTCTTTGATTAATTCATTTTGTGTTTTTATTCATCGTATTTTGATCACACTTATATGTAAAGATATTTCCTATTTCAAAACAGATGATATAAAACTATGATTGAACAACTTCCTATGACAGTAGGTAGTGGGTTACATGAAATGACTCATATGAAAATATGCTTGTATTAAGGCAATATTTTAGACAAGATCATATTAAATTCTACTTGTCTATTCTATAATAATAAGAGAAGACGTTAAAAAAACCGATCTGAAATCAAACTATCAACTAATATATCTATAAAAACGTAGACAGCTACAGAACCATCAATTAATAACGTTAAATCGATCGAGTTTTGATAAAACTTACAATATGTATATCATCGAAAAAAATCTACATCATTTTTTTTCTTTCTCCTCTTTCCTGTGTCTTCTCTTCGATAACGTTTTCTGTTAGAAATTATTTTGATTGAGACTCTGTTGAGTTAACGATCAATTTTAAATCATATATCTATAAAATATAAAAAAATTTTTACAGATGAAACAGTTGTCTAGTTTTCATCTAAAAACCTACATTATGAATAATCACTATATTAAACTCGAAGATTGAAATTTTTTTGCGTAGAAAAATTATTGAAAATTAATGTAAAAAAACCATTTCGACAGTCTAAGTTTGCTATAAAAACTTTGACTAGCTAAGTCATGAATACTGAAGTTGTTTTGATGATTTCGTTTGATTAAACATACAATTACGGTGTTAATAAATGTTTAAAGAGAAAAGAATCAAATAAATATGTTCATTAGTAAAACTATTAGATCTTTCTTTTTCTTTCGTATTCATAATTTCATGATGTTATTCAAAAGCAATAAAACTAAAATATATCAGTCTTTATGCGTAAAATAAAAATTGAAGTAATTTTATTTAAATTATTTGAATTTAAACAGTTAAAATCGAAATTTGAGCAAGACCAATGAGATAAGCTAAAACACAAATCGTTTCTACTCTTAGAATATGATTTTATCTTGCAAAAGATTCTGATCAGTAAAAAATATTGTTTTCTAATATCGAATATAAATTTCAATCGATTGTTTCTCTCTATTTCTTTCCATCAATAATTTCGTTTGAAGTTTATTTGCGACATAATTGTATATTATATTGATTATCTGTTCTATGCATATTCGTTCTGAAAAGCCCTTCTACAAGTCATCATCAAAACAACTCTGTTAACAAGTTTTAACTTAAAATTCCAAAGTGTTTCAATATCTATGTTTTATATATAAATGACATCGATGAATCTTTAAAGTATTATGTAGATCGAAAATAGTCGATGTTCTAAGTTTGAATGATGATATTTAGGATAACTTTTCTGAAGAAAAATATTTTAGTTCGTTTACTTTTAAAATTTAATCGATAGTTAAGTTGATCGTCTGTTACATAATCAACTTAAATTATAAATAAGTAATATTTCTTGATAGGAATTTGATTTTAAACATAGCATTGTATTAAGACAATCATGATGAACTATACGTTGGTCTTTATTTAGATGGTTACAAGTAATATATGAAATGAAAATTTTTCAAGCAAAATGTTGGAGATTTATATCATTCTTAGTATGACTTCAATCATGTCTTATTGTTCTGAAAATATTCAAAAAATTAATTCTATACTCTTTTTATTTCCTTCAAGCGAGAACATATCTGGAACACAGTTATCAGTCTAACCTGGCTATTACTTTTTTTAGAAATCAAATGTTCATACATTATCTTATTATCGAAGAGAACTCTGAATAATTCATTCGAATCGAGCAAAAATGCTTGAACTGAATGTATATTTAGGATTGTCAAATGTAAATGTTCTTCATCTTTTTTTTTATAACTATCGTTTATTTTCGACATTGTTTTTTATGTTTTTCTTGCAGACCTAATCAAATTTTGTTTGTACTATGATGATTATATTCTATTGATATTACGAGACATAACCGATATGATCATAAACATTGTGTTCATACAAGTTTGTCTAATACGAAAAATATTAATATTCTTTCTTTGTTTTATTTTTTTATTTTGTACAAGACTTCCTTGTTATGTTATTTCCATGGAAATGAATTAGTTGTGTAAGTGAAACTAGTATAATAGATTAATAGAGAGCTCTACAATGTAACATATTCGTAAAATGAAAAAAAAATCAATCAACCTAGTTTGATGTGTAGGTAGCACGAAGCAGATAGGACCAAGCCAGGATGTAGGTGAAGTTAATACGCGATTCGAGTAATTCTGACACCGATTCGTCCACTAGTATGTACCAGCTCTTTTCTCGGTATTCCATGTAGATTTCGACAGAGTCTATCTACTAGTACCGAAGACAAGGCTGGGAAAACATTCTGGACGAATCGGTGCTAGAATTACTCCGTAGATTCTCTATTGCCTACAGAAAAAAATGATACCGTATATTGAAAATCTGATTCCATCATTCGATAGAGCATATCGAATTCTGCTTGGATCTCAAATTGAAGGCGTTGGAACATATCTTGAGTGAATCAACACTGGATTTACTCAAATCGTATCCTAACTTTACTTAGGTAGATCAGGCTGGAAAAAGGTTGCTTGTTAGCAGTTCTGATGTATAACTACATGTAAATGCTAGTTTTCAACGACCTCTTTCTTTTTCGCAGAGGCTAATTGTTATTGGAATGCTAGGATGAAAAGTCTATGTAGCTCATTCTATCCTATCCTTTTTTTGCGTCGAATTCAATCGAACACAGTTCAAATAATCTAATAAATTATTTTATATATATATATAAATATATATAAATATATCAATATAAATAATCAATAGACATGAATAATAAATCAAAAAACAACTAATTAAGTTCGATTATAGAATATAATAGATGTTAATGTGAGAAAAGGTGTAATATTTATTGAATAATATAAATTATTTGAAGAAAAAAATAAAAGAACAATGTCTTGTCAAGATTATAAACCATATTCATTTTTCGAATTAAATAGTTCATTAAAATATGGTATCATAATACTTAATTATTCATTGGATAGTCTTCGAAATTTATTAAAAAAAGAAATTTGGGAAAAAGCTAATATTCGTGCTTGTGCTGATGGTGGTTTAAATATACTTAAAATATATTCAGATGAAATAAATGAAAATTTTTTACCAGATTATGTTAGTGGTGATTTTGATTCGATTCATAAAAAAACTTTTGAATATTATAAATCAAAATCAAATATTCATTTTATTAAAACTTATGATCAAAATGAAACAGATTTTACAAAATGTGTTCGCCTTATGATGGAAAAAAATTCAACATTAAATAATATTTTAGTTTTCTGTTCATTAGGTGGTCGATTTGATCATACTATAGGTATTGTACATTCATTATATTTACTTAATCATATTTATCCTAATTTACAAATATATTTAACAAGTGATAATGATATTACTTTTTTATTACATGCTAATCAATTAAATAGAATTTATATTCAATCAATATTAAATGGAAATATATGTAGTTTATTACCAATTGGTCAATCAGCACATGTACAAACTGAAGGACTTCAATGGAATTTAAATCGAAATCAAGAATTAAGTTTTAATAAACTTGTTAGTTCATCAAATACATATGAAACAAAAACAACGTCATATGTTGATGTTTATACTGATAATGATATTATTTGGACAATGACATATTTATCTCAAAAATAAATTATAATTATGTTTTATTTTACTTGATTATTATCGGTATTGTTACCACAATATTCCTATATCATTTTCTTGTTGTTTTATCTTTTTTTTATGAATATCCATCACAATAATTATTTAAACCTGCTATTTGCCAGATCAAATCATTATCCATTACAATATTGTCCTGTACATTATGTAACTAAACAAGTTGTTGAATTAATATGAACAAATCTATTTGGTACTTTTAATGAATAAGTACCGAACCAAAGAAGAATTACTATGTCGACGCTTATTGATCATTGACATTCAATTAATGGATGAAAACGATGCCATTCATCACCAATATGATTAATATTCATCGAAAAAAGTTTATCATGTCAAAAATAATTTGTAACATACTGTACGATAGTAGTAGTGACAAGTAGAGACCTGCGAAATCAGGTTTTTTATTCCAAAACCCGGCTCCAACTCCGAGAATTTCTATTTGTTGACTCCGATCCGAATTCCGTAAAATTCCGAATTTTTTTTATCGAAAGTAGACGACCTCAAATGTACTTTATTGTTTGATTCTTAGCGTCCACAAATTGATAAACAAACAAAGGAATGAAAAAAAATCAAAGAATCATTAAAAGATTAATTTTGAATTTCTTTTTCATTTGTCGTATAGTGGAAATAAAAACTAATAACTAGCAAGTATTTGACATGTACTATGTCCAAGCAATCGATTAATTGATGACGATGAGAATTATTGTATTTCGAATGATACTGAAATTTTTTTGGTTAATTGTATTGTTTTTTATAAGGTTGATCTTTCGAATGTTATAGGCAAAAGATGATTCCTTTTTTTTTGTCTTGGAATTCATTCTTAATATATGTAATGAGTGCTGGCTATCGCTTTATTGTTTGTTAGTACGAAAAATAAATTTATTGTAGTATCAATGAACGAAAGTTCATTAGAGGTGGTTATAATTTAGGCTCCGATTTAACTTCGGAAAATTTCATTTTGCTGAGTCCGACGGAGTCGGGTTTCAGTATTCTTTGCAAGTCTCTAGCGGCTGAACCATAAATCAACTGGTGGGAGTGGGAAAGTGTCAAAAGATCGAAAGTCAAAACGTCGAAAAGCAAAATATCGAAAATTACAAACTCTGTAGCCACAATATCCGGATCTTACTCAAGTCTTTGATGAACAAACCACAAAAGGACAACGAACGTACAGTCCGATAGTGTGGGTGAGGGCAAAATCTGTGACTTCTACTTTATTATTAAGACTTTCGAAAAAATTATTTTCGATGTTTTGCTTTTCGACGTTTTGACTTTCGATCTTTTGCCACCTATTCGTGGGAGTTAAGCATCCTGAAATCTTTTCAATAGTTCTCTACATCTCGTCTGTTTTGTTGATAAAGTAAACGTGTGTTTAAAATATTTTTTATTCTCCTATATTTCACGAAATAAAACATGTACTAGAGATGGTAAGGCTACCATCAGAAATATTTTTCATGCGCTAAACAATTCAATATCATTTAGGAGACAACAAAATAATCGTATACAGTTAAGCTCTTCTTCCCTCCTTTTAAAAACTCAATTTTTCAAAAGATATCAAAGTTGAGTTTTTTTTTATAATTAATCAATAGAAAACGTTTTAAGTAAGACATTCATTCTATTTATCTTAATATTTTGCTTTTTTCTTGATGTTTGTATGATGTGCAATTACCTAATAGAAAGAATTCCATTGGATAAAATTATCAAACTCTTATTATATATTAGCAAACTTTCACTTTCTTATTAGTCATCCATATACGACCTACAGGTAAAATACTGCATTTTTTTGAACCCACTCATTTTAGATTGGTCCAGTTTCATCGACAACGTTCCCTCTTGTGCTTGTCCAGTGTAAAACACCAAGCAACCTTTTAGAAAGAGACTGCTTTTTTCAAATATGCCGCTTCCTTTTTATTAAATAATAGTTGATTAAATAAATAAATGAATATTAAACCAAGAAGAGAAACATTTCAAAAGGAATAATCAAAAATCTAATCTATTACAAAGTTTTTCTTTTCAAATACATACGATTTAATGAGCAGAAGAATATTACTAAAATGAAGTTCAATGGAAATTAGAGTCAAAAATTTCGAATAACTGCTCGAGAAAATAAAAATTTGTTCATCTAATATAATCGTCAATTATTTCGAGCGCATATTAATGTTGAACCGATTCATGCAGTTTATTTTCTATTTAAAAATGTTGTTTGAAATAAAATAAACTTAAAAGTTTCGTCGAAGGTTATAAGAAAAAAACGAAATTGCTATTCAAAAATGTTCTTCTTTTCCATTTGTCCAGCTTTGATGCACCCTACATCTCCCTGTTTACCTGAATGTTGTCCGTGTAGGATTCTTTACATCTACTAAGGATTCATTCATGACAGCAAATGGTGCATGATGATTATACACAAGACAATAGTTTCAAAAAATATCAGAAAAAGAATAGATTTTGAAAGAGAACATTGGTTTTTAGTCAACAGTATTCAATCAATTATTTTCATTTCGATAATTTCATTGATTTTAGTAATCTTTTTAAAATGTTTATCTAGAAACAAAAACCAATGGAATATAATTTCATCCAGTCGAAAACTGTTTGATATAGAAATATATTTTATTTTTTAGACGCTTTATTTGACTTGTATCAATCTTTCGAGTCGCAATTAAATTGAACACATAATCATTTATAAGTCATTAACAAATACACATTAATTAGAAATAAAAGTAGAAGATCTTATGCATGAACTCTAATCAAGTTAGTTAAATCAAATCGTTTTTCTTGCCAATTTACAAATACTCACATTCGTTTTATATTTTAAAATAATATCATCATTGTTAATGAGCTGATAATGTCTTGTGAACAGTTATTCGAGAAAAAAAATGAGGAAAGAAGTATCTCTTTCTTTTCATAGAAAGAGTACTGTGCTATCAAAGACATGCAAGCTTGTTAAAAATAAAGATCAATACTTTCAATTCGTATCAAAAGTATGACCATCTTATGTTTGAAGAAACGGTAAGACAAATCTATAGATAATATTTCGATGAAAAGTGGAATAAACTCTTAAGAGAAAACAATCACTCAAATGAAAAGCTTAGAAACATTCTGAAAAAATACGAGACAGTTACTTTTAAGTATGACGGTAAATGTACATGTCTAGTCTGTGAATAACTAACCAAGATACTCGCAAGATCTGTGCCACAACGATTGACGTTAACTGAATATCTATATAATCGTAGCACAAAACAATAGAACTGAAACAGAACTTTTTAATTCCATCAGTAGGATTTTGTGTCCCCATTAGAATATTGAAAAAGAACATAAATGTGTTTCTAAAGAAAAACCAGAACTGTTAAAGATAAACTAAGAAATCGATATGTATGATCTTTATTTGGTGTAGATGCCTCACAAAAATTTCATTCTAGATTCAATTCTTTTTCGCTAAACGTTTTTCGTTGTGCTTGTTTCGCTTCGTAGAATACATCGATTACAATATAAGCAAATATACATCTAATGTAATACTTTATTCAGTTACTAAACAGGAATTATTTACATGATGTCAAACATACTGATATTGAGCTGCTATTAAACATACAAAATCTCTTGTTAGACTGGAATTTCACTTTCATCATGCTAGAGAAGTAGTTATCAGCAGAAAGCTTTCGTTAAAAAGAGGACACATAAGTAATCCGACTCTTCAATCCTACCGAAAAACTACTTGGATCTGTCTAAATTCGAACAGGTACTGTATGAAGTTGATGGAAACATAGAGCAAAATCTCGTCAGCCGGATTAAGGCAGATTCGATAGAATCCTGAGGAACAATTTTGACTTGAGACCATGAAGAAAGGCAACTATCTATCAAAATAATCTAATTCTATTTTGACGAATCCTCGCAATACTAAGTATTGTAATAGAAACAAAAAAAGGAGGAATATGAGGATCATTAACAATATAGAAAAAAATTGAAGAATAATTTAATTATAAACAAGTTAAATTATATATAAAATAATATTTCTACATGATATGAAATAATAATTTATTATAAAATCTCTTTTAGAATAAATCATAATTTTATCAATATGTTTTGTTTATTTTAATACTGTTATCTGGGAATAAAAATATAATTTGAATTAGAATATATTTAATAGAATTATTTCGGATGTTTTTCAATTAATTTCAAAATAAATATCAGACTTTTATTTTCTTTTTAAAATAAATTTATTTTTAAATGATTAAATTGGAAAAAATATGGCTTGTTTTTATAGTTGATGAATAAAATAAAAATATTTTGAACATTAAATGAATTTAAAATAAGAAACAAAATAATATAAATTAACTTAAATCAATAAGTTGGTCATCTGTATTATTTTGATCAAGAATTAGTTTTTCATCTTTAGAACTTATTTGATTTGAATTAATTGATGAACGAGCAGAAGAAGAAGAAGTAGAAGTAGAAGAAGGTTTTCCAAACAATTGTTGAACAGTTTGTGTTAATAAAGTTTTACTTTTTGCTGGTTGATGATTATTATTTTCTGTTACAATAAGAGTATCATCATCATTTTCATTTGCTTTAGTTTGTTTTTCTGTTTCAAGAATGAATAAATCATCTTGATTGGAATTTGATTCTTTGTTTGAGGTTTCTTTACGAGTAAATAAATTCATATTTCGATCTATTTATATTTATTTATGTTTGTTAGTATAGCAAACTTTTCTTTGAGAATACTTCGACGAATAAGAAACATATCTTTCATCCATGATAAATGTCGTTTCTAAGTAACCGTAAAAAAAACAAACATAAATGAAAGCAGATCGCATTCGAGTTTGACTTCGATACAGAAATGTAAAACAAATTAACGTTTATAGATTTGAATTGAAAAGTATAAGTATTTTTTGAACATTGTCTGTACAATTTATCTAAATTAGTTTGTTCTCATCAAGAAAAAAGTCTAATAAGAAATATGAACATCTTATCAACAATATACGATTCATGGATGATTTTATTCTCAACCTAAAATTGATTGTCTATTGTCAGCATCAAATGGCAGATCTCATTTAAAAAAGAATCGTCTCTAACTTAAGTTCCTTTCTTCATTTTAATTATATTCAAATTTGATAAAAATAGATTCCATCTTATATTTGTTGCTTAAAAAACTCTATCTGGTAATAAGGATGATAAAAGAGATAATATCAATTAAATTGAAATATTTACATCATGTGTTTTATCGAATATTTTCTGAATGCCGAACTAGTTGAGTCATTTGCGATACAAAGTACAAACATTTAAAAGAGTAGATCGAAATAGAAATTACATATTAGTGTAGACATCATTTCTAAGAATTTCTAAGATAAAGTGAAAAATATTGTCTTTCGAATATATAAAAATGGTGACCATAGCTGAAGTATTATTAGAAAGGTCGACAAAGTTGTCGAAAGAGTCTTAATAATAAATATAAATTTTATTTATTAATAATTCTGTTTGGAAATGATAAACGGATGATGATTTGATTTGCCATCTGTGAAGTAGGTTCAAAGAAAATAATCAACAACATTTTATTTTATTTTCATTTAAATTATCTAAAAAAAAAACGAAAAAGAAATAATTTAAAAAATTCTCTTCATCTATATAAATAAATATCTTGGATTCGATCTTAAACATTTAAATCTACTCATTCGAATATATTTTTCATGTCTTCCCGTAGTTGAGTCATCAAAACAGAATGTTGAAAATTTAACAGAAAATAAGTTAGATTAAAAAATCCTATTGATCGTGTTCATATGAATAGTACAAAGTTTCAATTCAGTTTTTTTCAGATTTGTTTTTATGAAAACGAATAAAGAAAAAGTTTGTCAAAGTTAATAATAATCATGACTATATGTTCGTTGGTATAATAAATATATTCATACAAATGTTTGATCTCATCTGAATATGATTTATTTTTCAATTTAATGCGTTTATGAAAACGAGCGAAGTATTTATGAATCAATATTTTCAATATTATTCTTTTAAAAATTAATAATAAAAAAAAAACAAAAGATTTTTTTCATAATTTAAATATTTTTTAATTAGAAAAAATAATGATACTTAACAATTTTATTTTCAAGGAAAACAAAATCTATTCGACTTATTTTCAAATAAGACAAGTTATTTAAATCGATATTGAATTTTAATTAAAGTAAATTCAACATACCTTTTAAATTTTCATGAATCAATCAAATTATTCAACAAATTTTTGTTTATTTATTTATTTATTTATGAATTTACTTTAACATATCTCATTTATTTATCCAAATAAATAATTCATATTCTTTTTCTTCATAGAAATTCAAACTTACTCAAATAAGACTCTGTTTATCCCTATGTAATTTATATATATTCATCACCAATATATATTTAAAAAAAAATCTAAATTTACGTTTGAGAAAGTCAACGAAAAAAACGTCTAATGAAAATGGGATGATTTAATAATAGTATTATTACTAATTATGATAAGGATAATTAATTGAAATGATGATTTACTAGGTCGAATGGCATCATTGATCTTTTTAGACTATTCATTGGTTTTTTTACTATTGCGTTTTTAATTGATAATACGAAAAATGGTGTTGTTGTTTTTCCTGCTTATGGATTTGAGTTCGACAGAAAAAATAAATTTAAGAAATCTCTTGGGACAACAAATACTTTTTAATTTATTTCATTTTGGTTAATTTACTAAAGAATTTAATTGAGATTTATTTCTCATTTGAAAAACTGATCGAAATATAAGAAATTATTCAAATTTATTCATATTTAAAAACGAAGACAAACATTGTTAAAGTTTTCAAGATTTATTTTATTTTTCTCTTGTTTCATAATTAATAAAACAATTTTTTTTAAAACGATTTAATATTGAAATTCTAAACAAGTTAGTTGATTTATGATACATTAATAATAATAAATAATAATCAAGAAAATAAATAAATTTGATATAAAAATATTTATTTGAACATATAGTAGTCATATATAATATTTAAATAAACTTCTAAATTATTTTAAAGAATTAAATAATAAATTGTTTGTTTAAATAAAATCTTGTTTAAGTTATTTTATTTTTTAAAATAGCTTTCATCAATGAATTAAAATTGAATTATATTTAATAAAAAAAAATTGAATAAAAATGATAAAAAAAATCTAATACGAAAAAAAAACATCACAATTGATTAGCTTCTTCTTGTGGTACCATAATAAGTTTAAAAACATGTTGTTGTTGTTCAAGAAGTTGATTTTCTTTCGAATGATCTAATGTAGCTTGTTGTTCACATTTTTCACAAAATGTTAATGATGGACAATGAACACAATCAAAACGAATTCCAACAAGATCATTTTGACAATGATCACATCTTAGATGAAAGCAAAAAAAAATAAATTTATTTTTTAACAAAAATGTTTAAATAGAAACTAACTTAACACCATTATGATGAACAACAGGATTTTCTGGTTTGGGAAGATCAAGAATAGTTTGCTTTGGTTGAGGTGTAGCTGCAGCTGTATAGTTTTGTGCTTGTGCCCAATTAAATTTTGCTCCACAACCAGATTGAACATTTCCTCCATGTGCATCTTGTCCACATATCATTGAATCACAACCTTCAAGACGTTGAACAACACGTTTACATGATGGACAAAGACGACAATTATCAGCTTTATATTTTTCATCATTCATTAATTCGTCATAACGACGACGTAAATCACGATTTCGATTTTCATTATCATTACTTTTACGATTATAATCAGCTAATTGTGTTGCATATGCAGTATCTTGTTGAGCTCTCATTGTTAAATAACGAGCACGTTCTTATTTATATACATAAATATATTTAAATAACAAAAATAAAAATAAACAAACCTGTTTGACACCAAAAAAACCATCGTTGAGTTATTTGTGGAAGTTGTTCACATGTTGTACGATAATGATATTGTTGATTACAAAGTGAACAAAATTCTTTATTACAAATAGGACAAGTTACTCGAAAACGTTCATTTGGATCAGCAGCTTCAGCTATCCATGGACAATTTTGATTTGGACATTTAATTATACCACGAGTACGACTTGAATATGCATCAAATGTTTTTTTTATTTGATAATCTCGAATTATTCGTAATTCTTCATTTGAAATTCTTAATTGATTAAGTTCACCATCTCTCAATGGATTTGTACAAAGTGCACATGTTAAAATTTCTCCATTATTCATTTTTGATTTACATGAATCATAATAACATGAATAACATATTTTATGATTATCAGAACAATCAAATACATATATATCATCATATGGACGTGATTCCATACAAACATCACAATCTCGTTTCGGCATTTCATATGGAAATGTTGATCCTATTGTTAAGAATTTTTTTTCAATATATTTTATTTTTATTTTTATTTTTGAAATTCATTACCGAATATAGCAAGAGCATCGATTATTGACCATGGATCAAGATTTAATTGACCATTTTTACTTTGTTGTTCAATAAAATGACGAATTTGCTCTTTTGTAAATGGATATTTTGTTTTAGTTAAAGTAAAATTAGTTAATTTTTCATAATCAGATGTTGCATCATGTTGACATTCTCTTGCATGATTTTCTAATTGTTTAAATGGATATGGTAATTGACAATATTCACAAGGTATTAAATCATCACATGATTCAACATGTTCATCAAAATCTTCACATTGATTTAAATCAATATAAAAACGACATCGAGAACAAAATGGTCTTTGTTGACCTTTAACAAGTTTTAATAGACGATCACTAATACGACGTTCAAGTGGAATTAATGATATATCATAACGAGATAATTCATAATCACATAAACTTTTATGACATACTGGTGTTTGACTATTTCGAGAAAATTCTTGCATTGAACGTTGAAGACATGATATACAATGAGTATGATGATAATGACAATTTATTTCTTTATATAACCCATCTTGTTTATTTAGTGAACAATTACTAAAATTATGTTTTCTTATTAAAAATAATTTATTATTATTATTAATATAATTATTTACCATGTAAAACATTTAAGATTTGTTTTATTTGATGAAGTTGATAATTGATTGTCTGTTTGAGCAACACATGCTAATACATGATTTTCATATTGAGATAAATCAATTGGTTTGAAACAAATAATACAATCTTTTTTTTGTGTTTTTATATTATTATCATTCTATACATTTTAGAATTATTTTAGAATTAAATAACAAAATATTATAATTGATTACTTTTTTATTAGAATTTAATCTTGTTTTATTCTCATTTTCATAAGAATTCATTACTGAATAAGATGATGATGGTGAACATGATGCAACATGTTGAACATATTCATATTCGGGAATAGATTTCGAACATTTTTTACAACGAGTTTTACCATTTTTCTAAAAATCCAACAAAAAAAACGAGTATTTTATAAAATTAATTTTTATTAATAAAACAAACTTGTTTATATATATTATCATCATTTATATCCATAGGTGTGTTGTCATTTGAACAAATTGAAACATGTTCTTGATATTGTTGTTGATTAATTAATTGAGTACAGAAAACACATTGTTTTTTTTGTTCACTTTTTGAATTTGAAGATGTTGATGATATCTATAATTAAATTAAATATAATTAAATAAATATAA